TTCTTTTCTTCCATTATCCTATTTATTTTAATAAATTAGAAATTCCATATTTTGCATAAAATATAACGAACAATGAAATATAATTTCTTGAAATTATATTTTTTTTAATTCATTTCATTTGAAATATTATTTTAAACTCTCGAAAATTCAATAATAGTTAGAAATAATAGTTAAATTATAAAAGATTAAAAGATGAAAAATTAAAGTTCCGAATATAAATATATAGAAATATTCGTTCAAAAATCGATCTTAAAGAATGTGAGAATGATATAAATCGTACGTAATATCATCGAATCTAGCAAATGAATTAGAAATATAATTTAGTTAAGAATATTGCAATAAATTAAACGAAAAAAAGACGTATTTAAAAAAAAACAAAATAATTAAAGCAAAATAATTTGAATGATGAAATCATATTTAGCAAGAAAATTCATTAATCTTTTAAAAGCTTGAAAAAAAACTATTTAAACAAATATGAATTCAATTAATTGATTTCTATTGAACTTCCATTATCTTTTAATTAACACTTCATTTCCTTCAGCATTTTATATAACTTTTCCATATTTCGGATTATTAATCGATAGTAATGAAACATCGAATAAAAGAATATTTTGGTTTTCTTGACTTTTATTAATAAATAAATTAATTTAGATAATTAATTTATGTAATAAAATTTCTCATATTATAAATTTTTTATATAATTTTAGGGATTAATGTATAAGTTTTATAGATATTAAATGATGTAGATATAAAATCAAGGTTAATGTGTATGATATATGATATAAATTTAAATCACATATAATGCAAAAGATAATTTCAAAGAATTCCAAATGCGATAAAATATAAATTTCATTCAGATACTTCTTTTTATAGAATGTATAAAAAATAAATGCAAAGATTATAGCATGATTTCTATATTCTCTGGATCGATAACAATTTATAAAATTTATAAAATTAGGTATAAAAATGACTCGAAAGGTTTTTTTCATTACATTTTATTCTAATCACATCGCAAAGATAAAAAGTTTCAAGAAAACTATTTAAAACTGATCAATTATCTTGAAAAAAATTTATTATTAAAAAACTTTATTATTAAAAAATATTAAATTTTCATTAATTTCCGAATTCGTTTCATTTATAATTTGCTTGATACATTTTTTGGGCAATATACAATTGTTGTGATACGTAATTTATTTATTTACAGAGTGTTTTGAAAATATGGATATATATTGACTGAAGATTCCTGAATATATAATTTCAAACAATATTTTCTTTTCCATTTCGTTACGATATATTAACATTGTATCGATTAAAGCACACTATATAATTTTTTCTTATTTCATTCTTTTAATAACGTATTATTTATAAAAAAAATTATAATAAATAATAATAGGAAAATAGTTTGCATAAAAAATTGAATTTCATTTCTATATTTAAGAAATAATGAAAACAGAATGATTTTATATTTAATTCATTTCAATTAAATGAAAAGTATATTTATTTATTAATTTTATTTACATCAAATTTGAATTAAAGTAATTGTCAATGATTCAAATTTTAAATAAATGTAATAAATGTTTCAGATTTTTAATTTCCATTATTTCAAATATTTCAATTATTTTAAATTTTTTCTAATTCTAAAATTAAAATATGTTTATATTTATATTGCTTTATAAGTATTATTTGACTTGAGTGAATTTATTATTTATACAATAATATCTGTATCAATAATTTTACATTATTTTTATTTATGAATTCTAATGTCAATTAGTTTTCTTTTTACAGATTTTAATTAAAAATTTAAAATTACTAAAAAAAATAATTAATAACCTTGTAGTCATTTTGAGAAACTTTTTTTTTTACATAACCGGTTTTAGTTTTTCAATTATTTGTAAAATACTTTTGATATTGTTATTAGCTCTAACTCATTAGTAGAGTTATATATAATAATAAAGTGTATAGTATATAATAATAAAAATGATTTATTACTAATTTCTATTGTGCTATTTTAGACAATCGAAGGCAAAGTCTATATGTAAATAAAAATTTTCATTAAATATGCGAATTCATAAATTTCTTATGATTAATCCAAGGTTTCAAATTATTAATTTAAGGTGAGTTGAAAAATTGAAAAAGTTGAAAAGTTCAAGAAGAAGTTCTTGCTAATTTAAAAATTAGAA